GAGGTTCCACGTGATCCTTACCCGTCTCTGGCCACACATCCAGCATAAACAGCCGCCATCCAAGGAAGGCAGGGAGGGAGGAGATCAGCTGGGGACCCCATGCGCCCGACGTTGCCGGCCCTAAAGAATTGTTTTCTTAAGGATGTAATACTATTCATTAAAAGGATCTGTGAAATTAAATGTAAAAAACTGAAGTGCTGGAGCGAGATAGAACTGGTGGCAGAATGAGACCCTTTGGCAAGGCAGCAGGCTTTGGCTTAATGGTGAAGTCCAGTAAGTTTTAGGAGGCGAGGGGTGGGAAGAAGTGCTTGCTAGTGGCTAGTGCTTCTAGTTTTTTTGTTTTTTGTTTTTTTTATGTCAGGAAGCATGCTGTTCAGAAGTTTAACTTTCTCTATTTCTTTCTAACTGAAATGAGCATGACTTTGAAGCCCCTAAATCTGCTTGGATGGTAAACAGTACCATCTTGTCAATTCCAGACCACTTATAGATTTAAACTTGGTCAACTGGAGACTTAGATAGGGTATGCAAATGTTAGGACACCTGGAGTAAGATAGGGTTTAAGTTTGTAGGATTTTTTGGAGGGACAGAAATGTTGGTTGGGGAGAGGTGCCAACCCACTAGATGATGTAGTGGCATCAACCTTAGATGCTGGGACCCTGCCTTACCTGGATTTGGTGGTGTGGGGTGGATAGAGGTCCAAGTATCTCTTGGGTCAGCTGTACTAATCTTGCTGGGGATGCTCTTCCCCAATTCTGCTGTCCCCAGACCCAACCTCCTGGATCTTTCTGCAGGGCAGTGATGGGTATCTTTGTGGTAGTGACAAGAAGCAAGATCTTATTATCTCAAAATGTGTTCCCACTATTTTGTCAAAAATCTCTTTATTTACTTATTGAACAAATACTGACTTGTTTAACATGAAGCAGTAAGACAGAGGCAGAGGAACTGTGTTTCCTCTCCTGCATCTATGCCTCCAGCTGGGGGTGGGGGGTGAGGTAGAAGAGCTAGGCTGTCTGCCTCCCACCTTCTTTGAGGTCCACTACCCTATCCCCCTTACTCTCTTCTGGATGGTGGAAGCCTCTCCATCTTGATCAACACAAGAGGAATAATAGAACTTTTGCTTTGTTTCCCTTTTTTTTTTTTTTCTTTAACAGATAAATTGCAAGATGCCCCCATCGAAATGGACAAACCATATAGGATCTTTTTCAAAGATCTCTTTCTTTTCAAAGAAAATGAGATGGCAGAAAAGAAAAAGGTAAGGTTTCCTTAAACTTGCGATTCTAATACATTAGAATCCTAGTCTGTACATCGCTATTGTGAACTTTGCTAGGTTTGCGACGCAGAGTCAGACATTGATGTTTGTGGGCTTCTTGCTGCACTGGGCAGCGCTGTCAACACTTTCACCAAAGCTGCATCCAACACACGTGGTAGAGATGGAGAGGTCACCACCTAGTGGATGTAGACAGACACACAGTCACCATCATCACAATAGGACATACCCTATTTCATTGGCACTTCAAACCCACCAGTAGCTCCTTGGAAATGCTATCAACGGCACTTAACAACAACATCAATAAATTCACACAAACTTAATTGGCACTACATAAAACAATTGGACATCGAACATCCTTCGCTCATCTATCAGCTGTCATACTGTGGCATGTGCGTTTGCTGTGATGTTAGAAACTATGCCACCAGTATATATATGTCACATCCCGATGGGCATGTTTCAGCTGAGCTTCCAGACTAAGATAGACTAGGTGGAAGGAGAGTCAGGCTACTTCAGAATGTGTAGCAACTGAAAACCTTATAAAGAGCAAAGGGACACTGTCAGATAGCACCATAAAATTGGATATTGAAACATGATGAATTTGTTGTTGTTAGGTGCCATTGAGTCAGTACTGACTCATAGCAATCTTGTGCACAACAGAATGAAACACTGCCCAGTCCTGTGCCAACACCTCAACCATTACCTCACTTGAACCCATCGCTGCTGCTACTAAACCAATCCATCTCATTGAGGGTCTTCCTCTTTTTCTTTGACCCTCCACTTTATTAAAAATAATGTCCTTCTCCCGGAAATGGCCCCTCCTGATAATGTGTCTGGAGTATGAAAGACGAAGTCTGGCCATTCTGGCTTCTAAAGAGCACTCTGACTCTACTTCTTCCAACACAGATCTGTTTGTTCTTCAAGCAGTCCATGGTACCTTTAATATTCTCCTCCCCAACACCCTAACTCAAATGCATCAGTCCTTTTATCGCCTTCCTTATCATTGTTCGGCTTTCACATACATATGAGGTTATTGAAAATACAATGGTCTGGGTTAGGCACACCTTAGTCTTCAAACTGACTTATTTGCTCTTTAACACTTTAAAGAGGTCTTGTGCAGCAGATTTGCCTAATGCAATAATACATTGTTGATTTCTTGACGTCTGCTTTCATTAGTGTTCATGGTGATCTGAGCAAAATTAACTCTTTGACAAATTCAACCTTTTCTCCATTTATCTTGATGTTATTTATTCTTCCAGTGGTGAGGATTTTTGTGTGCTTTACAATGAGTTGCAACCCATACAGAGTCTGTGGTTTTTGCTCTTAATCAGCATCTCTGCTTTCAGCAAGCAATGTTGAATCATCTGCATATCATACATTGTTTATGAGTCTTCCTCTAATCCTGATGCCATGCTTTTTCTTAATAAAATCCGCTTTTCATATTATTTGCTCAGTGTACAGATTGAATAAGTATGATGAAAGAATAATTGAATAATTATTGTGCTCATCTGAACCCTGTCCACCATGATGGCCTTGCTGGTATTTAAGTTACTGGTGTCATAGCTTCTAGAATCACAGCAACACACAAGCCACTACAAACTGTAGGACAGTAGGACAAACTGACAGACAAGTGGTGGATCCTAGGCATTAGTGAGCTGAAATGGAATGATATTGACCATTTTGAATCTGTCGATCATATGGTTTACTATGCCAGGATTAACAAATTGAAGAGAAATGGCATCACATTCATCAACAAAAAGAACATTTCAATGTTCTCTTTGTTATATCTTGAAGTATAATACTGTCTATGATAGGATAATATCCATATACCTACAAGTATAACCATTTAATATTACTATTATTTAAATGTATGCACTAACCACTAAAGTCAGTGTTGATGAAATTGAAAAATTCTACCAACTTCTTCAGTCTGAAATTGATCAAACATTCAATCAATATACATTGATAACTACTGGTGAATGGAATGCAAAGCTTGGAAGGATCAATCATTGGAAAGTATGGCCTTGGTGATAGAAATAATGCTGGAGATCGCATGATAAAATAGTGTAAGACCAATGACTTGTTTGTTGCAAATACCTGCTTTTAAAAAGATGGCTATACGTATGAGCCTCACCAAATGGAATACACCGAAATCAAACTGACTACATCTCTGGTGAGAGATGATGAAAGAGCTCCATATCATCAGCCAAAACAAGGCCAGTGGCAGACTGAAACAGACCATCAATTGCTCCTATGCAAGTTCAGGCTAAAGCTGAAGAAAATTAAAACAAATCTACCAGCAGCAAAATATGACCTTGACCATATCCCATCGAAATTCAGAGATCATCCCAAGAACAGATTTGATGCATTAGACAATAATGACTAAAGACCAGAAGAGTTCAGGGATGACATCAAGAAAAATAATACAGGAAGACAAGAAAGAGAAAAATATCAAAGTGAATGTCATAAAAGACTCAAACTTGTTTTCCAGCATAGAGATGCCAAAGCAAATGAGAAAGTAAAAAAGCTGAACAGAAAATTTCAAAAGGCGACTAGAGAAGACCAAGTCAATATGACAGTGAAATGTGGAAAGACTTGGAGTTAGAAAACCAGAAAGGAAGAGCATGTTTAGCATTTCTTAGGTTGAGAGAACTGGAGAAAAAATTCAAACCTCAACTTGAAATATTGAAGGAATCTATGGGCAAAATATTGAATGATGCAGAAAGCTCCAAAAGAAGGTGGAAGGAATACACAGAATCACTGTATCAAAAAGAAATGGTCAATGTTCAACCTTTCAAGATATAGCATATTGTTAAGAGCCAATGGCACTGAAGGAAGAAGTTCAAGGTGCACTGAAGGTATTGGCAATGAACAATACTCCAGGTATTGATGGAATACAAATTGAAATCTTTCAACAAACTGATGCAGTACTGAGGGGGATACTCATTCATCTAGACCAAGAAATTTAGAAGACAGCTACCTAGCCAACTGACTGGAAGAGATCCATGTTTGCGCCCATTTCTAAACAAGGTGACCCAATGGAATACAGAAATCATGGGACAATATTATTAATATCACATGCAGGTAAAATGTTGGTAAAGATATTTCAAAAACAGCTGCAATAGTACATTGGCAGGGAACTGCTAGAGATTTAAGTCAGATTCAGAAGAGGACATTGTTGTTGTTGTTAAGTGCCATCGAGTCAGTTCAGACCCATAGTGACCCTGTATAAGGTTTCTGAGGAGCACCTGGTGAGCTTGAGCCTCCAACCTTGTGATTCAAACTGACTTGCATTCCAGTGCATTAACCGATAGCATCACACCAGGGCCCCAGAAGAGGATGTGGAATGAGGGATATCATTGCTGGCATAAAATGGATCTTGGTTCAAAGCAGAGAATACCAGAAGGATGTTTACCTGTGCTTTATTGACTATGCAAAAATGTTTGATTATGTGAATCATGACAAGCAATAGGCAACAGTGTGGAAAATTAGTATTCCGGAGCACTTAATTATGCTACTAAGGAACCTGTACAGAGACTAAGATGCAGTCATTCAAACAGAACCAGAGGACACTGAATGGTTTAAAATTAGGAAAGGTGTGCACCTGGGTTGTATTCTTTCACCATAGTAAATGAATCTGTCTGCTGTACAAATAATCCAAGAATAAGGAGAAGAATGTGGCAACAGAATTGGAGTAAGACTCATTAACAGCCTGCATTATGGAGATGTGGTGCCTTGAACTTACTTGATAAGGCTTTTCTGAAATCCCAAGTGATTATATGGAGCCATGCAAATAAAGTATATAGGACTCTAAGGCTGTGATTGGTTGGTTGTGCCCTCCAGCTAGATTAAAAATGATCCTTCTCAGAAGCAGAAACAAAAGATCCCAGGACCATCAAGAATGAAGAGCATGAGTACATTCATCACTATGTCAAAAAATGGCAACAGCAGACGTGACAGCAATGGTAATGGCAGAGGCGGTGGTATGGAGAGACAAAGTCCATGTCCATGAGTAAAGCGGAGTGCCTACAGGCAGGAGACTTGGTTGCAGAATGTGCCCTTTGGGCATTCTTAGACTGGCTGAAAGAATTTTGTATTACTTGCCTGCGCAGGACAGAGGCCAAGGGGACACATTGCTGAAATGCCGAAGACAAAATTGAGGTGTGTGTGCAGTACGGCAGAGAAGAGGTGTTCCTCCCTGGGGAGGTGCTGTGTCCTTTCTGATCCTGAATTGTACCTTGTTCACTTCCCTAAGAAACCCCATAATCATGAGTATTATTATTATGAGTTCTGTGTGGGCACTGTAATGGACTATCAAACCCATATGTGAAGCAGATCATGCTGTGAGAACGATGACTGGTGTGAGAATAAGGTAAAGAAGGTTGCAGAGTGGAAGCATGTGTGACCTCTGACCTTCACGTCATAGGAATAAGTCTGTGGCTGATTTTGAGTTTGATTCTCTTTCCCACTTGTGAAGCCAGGGGAAGTCAGACATAGTCCCCAAATGTTTTTTGCAACAGATGATACAACCTTGTAGCTGAAAGCAAAGAGGACTTAAAAAATACTTACTGATGAAGAGCAAAGACCACAGCCTTTGGTATAGATTGCACCTCATTGTAAAGAAAACAAAAATCCTCACCACTGCACCAATAAACAACATTAAAATAAATGAGGGAAAGATAGAAGTTGTTAAGGACTTTATTTTGCTTGGATTCACCATCAACACACATGGAAGCGGCAGTCAAGAAATCAAAACATGCATTGTATTAGGCAGATCTATTGCACAAGACCTCTTTAAAGTGTTCAAGATAAGAGATGTCAGTTTAAGGACTATGGTGCACCCGGCCCAAGCCATGAAATTTTCAGTAGCTTCAGATGCATGTGAAAGTTGGACAATGAATAAGGAAAACTTTAAAAGAATTGGTGCTGTTGAAGAACATTGAAAGTACTATGGACACCTGGAAGAACCAACCAATCTGTGTTGGGTGAAGTACAGCCAGAACGCTCCTTAGAAGCCAGGATGGTCAGACTTCATCTCTCACAATTTGAACATATTAATTATAAGGAGGAACCAATCCCTGGAGAAGAACATCACACTTGGTAAAATGGAGGGTCAGAGATGAAAAGGAAGACCCCCAATGAGATGAATTGGCACCATGGCAGTAGCAATGGGCTTTTGTGAGGATGGCACAGGATCGGGCAGTGTTTCATTCTGCTGTGCATTTCTTCATATTTTCTTAATTATAAAATTTATATTCAGCCTACATCAATGGATGTCATATATAATTGGCAGTACATAAAATAATTGCACGTCTAACAACAAATGGCATGTCAGATTTGAATGCTTTAAAAAAATCTGTTGCTATCAAGTCAATTCTGACACATGTTATTGTTGCTAAGTGCCGATGAGTGGGTTCTGACTCACAGTGACTGTATGTATGGTCTTGGAGGCTGTAAATCTTTATGAGAACAGATAGCCTCATCTTTCTCCAGAGGAGCACCTGGTGGTTGGTGTTGAACGGCAGCAGTTAGTAGTCCAATGCCTCTCCCACGGGGCCAGCAGGTCTCCTTATTAATATTCCATATTGATTACCTAGGGTCCTAGAGGCATGCAAATGAAATATAGAAAAAGAAATGTCCACCTTTGTTGTTGAGAAGAGAATGGTGTTGTGTGTGTGTGTGTGTGCGCGCGCACACTTGTGGGCATGGGTGCACGTGCATAAAGATTTCATTGAAATAATAGGAATGAGGTTTCAAGCTATTCTGAGGGAAATACAGTCACAAAAGGGCAAATGTTGTATGACTCCAGAAGGGAGCAGAGAAGAGGGAGTTGTTAGTTAGGGGTTACTGAGCTTCTGTCAAGAATGATGGACACTTTTACAAGCAAGTATCAGTAATGCTTGCACATTATAAAAATATTTAATGTCACTGAATTTTCTATGTAAAAACGATTGCAGTGGAATATGTTCTGTTATATACATATGATTCTTTGTGACCCTGTAATACAGTTTCTGAGGAGTGGCTGGTGGGTTTGAACCTTATGACCTTATGGTTCAAACTGACCTTGCACTACTGTGTTTACCACACCAGGACTCCATATATATCACATCTGGGTCAAATAGCTTTGTGTATAGAAGTAGTGCTGGTGTAGTGCTGCACGGTAATGCACTAGATCGCAAAGTTAGTCAGTGGTTCAGATCAACCAGTCACTCCTCAGAAACCATTTACAGAGTTGCTATGAGTCGGAACCAACTCAACGGCACTTAACAACAACAAACATATATATATATACAAGGAGCTCTGGTAGTATAGTGGTTACAAATTGGGCTGCTAATCTCATGGTCAGCAGTTCGAAACTACCAACTGTTCTGCAGGAGAAATATGAGGCTTTCTGCTCCCATATAGATTTACAGCCTTGGAAACCCTGTAGAGGGTCGCTATGAGTCAGAACCGACTCCACAGCACATAACAACAACAAATATATATATATATATATATTTGTGTGTGTATACATATATTTACCACAATAAAAAGAATTTTAAAAGAATAAGTCAGTTTTGCCAGACAGATATGGATAAGAGAATGTTGAGGAGGGAGGCAAGGGAAGAAGGTGGAAATGCTACTTTAGAATTATTTAGTATGAGGCTAAATCTTCAGTGAGGCTAGTTTCCCCCTTGTGCCTTGCTGAGTTAATCTCACTATGGTATGAGGAGGTCTTATACTGCCTGGTGCACATTTCATGATATTTGCTTTCTTTACCCCAGAGGAAAAATTTGACTAGAAGACTTTCTTTGTCCTAATTAGAATGAGGAAACTATATAGAAATGCTTAATAATGAATTCATCTGAAAAGTAATGGCTTTTCTGCATGTATTTAGAGTTTGAAATTCAACATAATTAAAAATTTTAAAGTTAGTTGAATTAGGAACCTGATATTTTATATTTATTTTGATTTATTTTCAAGAGTTCAATTCCACAGAATCAGTCCTTCTTAAGTCAGTGGAATTTCCGAGAGTGTATCTGCTTTTTGAGCATGACGGGATTGTACAAATAAAACCAGAAGAACGTGTTCTAAGCTCATATATGGGATGTACTTGCTTAACAAAAGTTAATTAAAAAAAAAAGTTTTGCTCAGCTTCATACAGAAGGAAATGAAAACCAGTATATTCCTTCAAATCTAAGAATTTGAAATTGTTTGTTAGTTATAATCTGGTGGAGTCCTGGTGTGGCACTGTGGGTTAATGCGCCAGACTGCAAAGCCATTTGAACTGCAAGATTGGTGGTTCAAGCTCACCAGCTGTTCCTCAGAAACCTGGTGGAACAAGAATACAGGGTCACTATGTGTCAGAATTGACTCGACAACACTTAACAAAAATGACCTGGTAAGAGGGGAAAGGACTTATTGTGAATTATATTTTTTGTATGTAATTACTATATTTTAAGACAACAGTTTTTGGTAAATAAAAAATTCTTTTAAACTTAACAACTTGGGCAGGAGAAATTTATGAGTCGCAGCATGAAAGTACACCAAAAGTCTACTTTTTCATCCCGAATGAAGAGTCGTTCACATCTGGGCCAAATAGATTTTTATGCTGATACAGCTGGTGGCTCACCTGAAAACTTTGGATTCGACCCCATGCTTATTCTCAGATTAACAGAAGGTAACTCATTTACTGATTGTTTAAAAACATTGGTTTGAATATCTAGTTTAATGTCAGGTTGGATGAGAAATACAAGGAAATACATGTCTCACGAGAGGGTGGTGGAGTCTTTGTAAATGGGTTTGAGGGTCAAGAGAGAATCTATTTTAAATATGGAAACTTACTTTTCCAAGAAATTGACTGCTATATGTTACATGACTTTTTAAGATGATAATGGTATTAAGGTGGCAAGATGTTGTTGTTGTTGTCAGGTGCTATCAAGTCGGAACCGACTCATAGCAACCCCATGCACAGCAGAACGAAACAATGTCCGATCCTGGGCCAACCTCACTACCGCTGCCACACTTGAGTCCATCAATGATG